ACTTTGCAGTTTTTATTGTTTTTAAAATGGCTAATAGGTAACACAGGAAATATCTAACCTGTATATGCGAATATTATTTAATTCTTTTAAAAGATCCGTCCTTCGAACTCGATTGTTGTAGTATCATCGAGGATACGATTTTCATGTTATTCAAACGTCTGCTTTGTGCAATTTTATTGTCTCTCGCACGTATCCGCTGGTCTAAAATGGTACACTTTTCAACATTAAATATATTATTCAAAGCGTTTTTTATTAAGTAAGTGGCTACAAAAGGAATCCATTGTCTAGTATGCAGTTGTTCTAATGCATTTCTCTTACCGTAACTCTTGTTCAATTTATGGTTGTCTCTGTTTTTAAAAAGGGTGAAAGGGATGACAAAAATGTTTTGTTCAGGTTTTCCGCAATGGAATATACCTTCTAATTATGCAGATGTGTACAAAGAGTATAAAAATTAAATAAATCTTCTTGTCGTTTACAGGAATGTGTTTCCGGAGAACATCGCTCAAGCGACCATCGCATCTTATAGAACTCGATTGTCTTACGATCCTAAAGATAGCAAAATGGTCAAAGGTAATTTTAACAAGATAAACTAAACTTATTAATTAGACTTCCGGCCTCGCCAACAGCGCTGTGGAATGGTCTGTCCTCGGCGGTATTTCCGAACCGACTTAGGGTCCTTCAAGAAGCGAGCTTATCACCATCTCAAAGGCCGGCAACGCATCTGCGGTTTCTCTGGGTTTTGCTGATGTCCATGGGGGTCGTTGAACACGCATCATATAAATAATAATTGTTTTCAGGTCATATCGAGACATATAAGATAGAAGGGGACTATCAGAGCGGCACCAATGTATTGGGGCTGGTCTGTTTCAGTATTGTGTTAGGCATCACCATGGGCAAGATGGGAGACAAGAGCAAACCTTTGCAAGAGTTCTTCCATACTCTCTCTGAAGCCATGATGATCATCACTGGATGGGTTATTTGGTATGCTACTATCGAATTTACTTACAAATATCTTGTATTCAATTATTGGAAACTATCTTTCGCCTGTCTTTGCGTTAAATAAAAAAAATAACTGAGTAATCTATGCATAGCTAGCCAGATATATTCCAGACTCTACAATCTAGCAATCTACTCTTTTCCAAATTTCATCAAGACTCGTTGAACCGTTTTGGATACTAGCATTTTTGTTTGCTATCTTTTAAACTAATTCTATAAATTAATTGTTTTTCTTTAATTATATTAAGTACTTTCATAATTTGTAATTCGTTTTTCAGGCTTTCTCCGCTCGGTGTGTTCTTCTTAGTAACAGCTAAGATCATGGAAATAGATTCTTTCGCAGACCTAGTGGGTCGTTTAGGGTTGTACTTCATGACAGTATTACTCGGTCTGTTCTTGCACGGATTTGGTACGCTCAGCGTCCTATTCATGCTGGCCACAAAGAAGTTGCCATGTCGCTACATTGCTAAGATGGGTCAGGTTATGGCTACAGCGTTTGGAACTGCTTCAAGGTAGTATATCAATGAGTAATTAAGATTCTTATAGATATTTTTAAACCGAATGAACCAATACCATTCAATTCACCAAATACAGCGTGTTCTAAAATTCAACGATAATTCGGTAGGTGTATAGCCAGGTCGATAACTACATGGGGAAAAATGCAAAAAAAACTTTTTGTTTAAAAGTTACATTAACTTTTGTAACTTTTCTTTTCGTAATTTGATACTCTAAACCATATGATTACACACTGTGGCTACAAATATGGAAATATTCCTGCTACTTTTTGCGGTTTTTTTAATTACAAACTTCACTACTTAATAATCCTTTTAAATGGCTAGCTAAAAATTGTGATGGCAAAAAAGCGTGATGTTTTCTTTAGAGGGCGATCAAATAATTTTAATGAATTATTAATTGTATTTCAGTTCGGCCACAATGCCGATAACAATAGGCTGCTGTGATGACATGGGCCTGGACCCTCGCATCACTCGCTTTGTCATCCCTATCGGCGCCACTATCAACATGGACGGTACGGCGTTGTACGAGGCAGTAGCCGCTATCTTTATCGCACAACTCAGGAAGGTCGAGATGTCGTTCGGAAAGATTGTTGCAGTCAGGTAAAACGTTTAACGTAACATATTTCACATCAGATTTACTAAAGTTGTTTAAATTATTTCTCGATCATTTTATTCCCTACTCAATAATCAGCTACGCGCAAATCACCCATTTCTACTAAGGTCTTCTTCTTCTTCTAGCTCTACAGCCCTTTGTGGGCCTTGGCTTGGTCCTGCAATTTTTTCCACCTCGGTCTATCTCTGGCCACGGACTTCCAATTTGCTATGCCCACTTTTTTGCGTCTTTATTTACGCCGTCTATCCATCGGAGCTTATTTAGTTCTACCCCTACCTAAATATTGTAGATTCGTATTTAAGGTTTTCCTGTTCACATGCAAATCTTACCTCTTCATATGGTCTATACCATCCTAATCTTTTGCGTCGCGACCTTTAGTTTTTCTAACATAATTTGGTCTTATTATAAATTGTATGTTTCTTTGTGTGTCAGTGTGACTGCGACTGCGGCCAGTATAGGCGCTGCCGGTATCCCTCAGGCGGGACTGGTTACCATGGTAATGGTGCTGGACACCGTCAACCTGCCCGCTGAAGATGTCTCCATCATTCTTGCGGTCGACTGGCTTCTGTAAGTTAATATAATCATTGTTGAATTAGAGTATAACTGATGGCTGACGAGTCCAAAATGTTTCTAAAATATCTACGGCCGTTGAGATCCAGTATACTGAAAATCAATTGGCTAGTTTTATAACGAAACTATATAACAGTAGCCTGCGACTCCGTCCGCACGGAGTTGAGAAAAAAAACTTAATAAGTAGCCTACCCGTTCTTACTCCGTTCCGAAGATACCTTCAAACATCCATCCAACGTTCCATATAAACATTCGCATTTGTAATATTAGTAAGATTTAGTACAGGTGTTTGCATGCCATATTTAGCTCACTATTGTTAACTATTTAACATCGGTTATTAACTCAACTTAATAACTGTTACAGCGATCGATTCCGCACAACCATCAACGTCGTCTGCGATGCACTGGGAGCCATCATTGTAACCACATTATCACAAGGTGATATCGAAAAATCGCGCGTCATCCACCAAAACGATCGGGAACTAGCTCCCGCGCACGAACTTACCGAACTAGAGAAGGGCGATCATTGAATAACGTAACAGCTATTCGCAGTAATGTGTTCACATAACGTTGTAGCGGTTATTTTAACAAGTTATAACGTTAATAGATAATAACATAATTATGTTACCAGCCAGGAACAGTTTTTATTCATCGCAGTATGTTAACAACAAAAATAATTGTGATTATTAGACGTAGAAAGTAGTGTGTTTATCTAGCATTTAACTGTCACTTTCAGACCGATTTAAAGTAAATATCTGGTTTAAAGGATCGCAAAATAGGTCAATATTACAAAGTAATGGTGTTGCTATCTTTTAACTCAAGAACTGAAGCGAATGTTTAATGTTACCAAAGCTTTAGTAACCAAATCAAAAAAAGGTTTTAACGTATAGGTTAAAACCAATTATTCGTTAACAGTTGATGTTCATAGATATGTTCAAAACTATGTATAATCGACTGTTTGATTTGTCTTGTGTAAAAGTTATGTAAATACACATGATAAGTACTTAAAAACTATTTCATGGTTTCTCAAAAGTTTTCTTATCTGTAATGAGCATTTGAAGATTTTTGACAGGTCATGGAACGGGTTTTGAGACATTGGCGCCTTCGTAAAACATTTTATCTTGTAGTGTAATAGAAATACTCTCAAATTGATTTAAATTACACTAGTTTTTGATAATATTTTTTTAGTAGTTTCAAAATAATAAAACTACGACAAATTGGCAATTTTTTTGAAGCACAGCTAAGTGAGAGATATCCTTGAGAATTGAATTTTTAAAATCTGTATACTATCCTTCTATTTTTGTATATTTTGTTTAACAGTGAATGTGCCATATCGTAATTTAAATATTTAATTAGATAATATTAATCTCCAGTCATACATCTATTTGCATTCCAAATGAGTCATTTTTTTGTCGAACGTAGAACGATTCATTGTTTTGTTGACTTCTTTATATATATTTGTAGTCTATTAATATTGCTAGATACTTCAAAATTCTTGTTTTTCGTTAAAGTTATGATTGATTTTCATTTACTTACTACATATATACTATTAAAACAGTTTTTATATAAAAATGTTATATTAGTGACAAAAGAAATGTAATTTAATTATTAAATAAGTACAAATCGTAGCCAAATTAATTATATTATAGATCGTAAGATTTATAAAATCTAATTTTATTAATTTAGATGACATATATTTTATTTGAATAAATTTATTTAAAAAGGTATTAAATTTTTTCTTTATTAGAACACAAGGAACATTTTATTATAAGACAAATAAATGTTGATTGTGAAGTGTGACATATTATTTATCTAGCCAGGTGATAGGGGCGCTGCTATCGCTGTTAGTCCTGTCAAAAATATATAAAACCTACTTAGGCATAGTAAACGCCATATAAAAAAATGAAACATGTACATTTTCTGACTTTGAGTGTGGTGGCGCTAGTGAGTCCCATAATTTAGTTTGACGTTTGACTTGTCGATTTATGAGTTGAATATTGTGTAATCGAGTAGATTAGTTTGGTGTTGAAATCGTAGAAATATATGTTTATTGTGTAGCATATCTGTAATATTAAGATATGTCTTTATTCAGAATTGAAAAATCTTTACTAATTATTTTTAATATACTCGAAAAATAAGTATTTATCCGTTTATTTAATTTTTCCTCATATCCTGTAATTTTCATGGTTGCTTCTATGTATGTTATTTGAATGTGGCCGTTCTTAAATGTTATTTTAATAAATAATTAATACATTGATGTGGTCTTTATTCTACTTTTGTTCGGAATGGTTAATAAAATTCTTTGAATTTGTGAAATTCGATTTTATTTAATCTCAAACGAATACATTACATTTGGTATAAAACTCACTTATTCCACATACTTGAGTTTCCTCACAGCCAAGATTTACTAAATAAGTATAACAAATAAAAATATAAATTTTAAAAATGTTACAAGAACATTAAAACGAAAAAAAAAACCATGGATTTTAATATTTATATACAGAGTTACGTTTTGGTCAATCAGTCTCTTAAAAATGTATAAGTTACAACTTAAATTCTAAACTTTGGAATGTAGGAATAAAAACTAAAACGAATGAGTATCTCTAATAATTAATTACTAACATATAGTTATTTAAATCTGATAAGATATAAAAAAGAAATATTGCTACTGAATATAACAGTATTCTCTTGACTCATGTTCTTAAAAACCCACATCTTTTTACAATTTTATTCTTTTATAAAAACATCATCTTATGTATTGTTATATAGTCAACCAAATTTGATAATTTCATTTTAATATACGATTAAAATGCTTAAATATTTTTACAAGTAAACTATTTACGCATTTATACAACAATAATGATTATAAATTGAGAAACATAACCTCTTTTATTGTAAAAATGTCTTTTAAAAGTAAATTATTTAATTACTACTTTACAGTAATTAGTCAGTATTGAATCGAAGAAATGCTAGCGATTTTGCAAAATTGGTATATAAGATTATACTTTATACGAATATGACCCTAAAGGCTTTTTCTTAAAGCTTCAATTTTCTGTAACGATTTTGATCAAATATACACATATTAGTACTTACATCAGTAAATAGTTTAATTTACAGCAATATTTTATACTTACAATATTAAAATAGCTTTTAGCTATTAACTATGCATAACGTTGTTAAACAGCTATTTTTTGAACATCCCTAGTATCAAACGTCATAGATTAAACAACACCGTTATTTACGAGATTATTATTGTGGTTCAGTTGTTTTTGCGTTCCGTTTTTCGTATTAAAGGACGAATCTCTTCTTCCATTCCTCTCACTGGTGAGAGAGCTTCGTGCTCGTACTAAAGTTGCTGCAGAAATTTCCATTGAATCGCCGAAAGGGAATCGGGATCCTCTTCTCATACTTCCATTACGATATCTTGCATTCTATAAAACAAAAATGTTTGTTTAATTAAAATTAAGTTAAACAATTAATGACATGAAGTCACTGGCTACATGGAACATCTTACTATCTCTTTAAGAAATAATATTTATCTTACCGGACCCGTATGCCAGCGATTTCTATTGAACACACCATAGACAATAGGGTTGGCACAAGAGTTTGTGCAAGAGAACAACCACATTGCCTTCTGAAAAGCAGGATCTAGACTTCTCACGGATTCTTTGTCTATCCAGTACCTAGAACGAGAAATTGTATGTTGTAAAGGAAAAGGCACCAATGTCTTTATACATGTGTTATGACAGTGGAAACTGATGGTTTTGTGTGTTCTGTGCTACATTGAACTTTACTCAATTATTAAGAGATATCAGAAATTATCTAAATTAGTTTACGAAAAACAATTATCCTAATTTAATTGTAATTCAAAAATAGACGCTTAACTACCGCACTTCTTAGGTCGTCTTTGGAATAGATTTGGTATGAGAAATCTATACTTAATATCGACATTAGTGACCATTAAAGTAAATGTTACTAGATACTAAAGTATGTACTCACCATAAGCAATAACAGTAGTAAGGAGACCAACACGTGAAAAATACCAAGACAATTGTAACAGTCATCTTCAAAGTCCTCGCTCGTGCTCGGCCGAGTATACCAACACCGCTGCGTCGCATTTTATCTGGAATTGAAATCATCATCAGTCCACTATATGCCAGACTACGGTACGGCCCCGAGTCTATCCTAAGTTAGGAATGACTAGGCTATAATCAACTACGCTGGCCTTTTGCGGGTTGGTTCACTTCACACGCCTTTGAATTTCTTCGCAGATCTGTGCAGGTTGCATCAATCATGATGTCATGATGATGAAACATTAGTTTACCTTTGCCGTAAGAACGTCGGATAAATGTACATATGAAAATCGAAAAGCACATTGGTACATGAAGGGATTCGAACCCACAATCTAATTACAAGTGTAGTGCTTAACCCTAAAGCCACCGACGCTCGTTATTGAATCGCCTATACTTTAGTTAATTATACTGATCTGGCTGTTAGAAATTCAGTTCCTTTGATTTGCGGTATTTCAGTTTCAAGTAGGATTTTCGCTTTAGAAGTGAAACTTTCAAGAGATTCTCGCCAGCAAAGCTCCTTTTAATCCCAATCAGAACAACGAAATGTAGAGTACATCCTCGAACCTGTCTTTTGTAAGGCTTAAGCCCGCCATACTATTTTGGGAATACTTTTTAACATCGTAAAAGTCTGGCAAATGCTCGATGTAATCGTAATGTACCCTTACCATTGGCGGTGTTGGCTCTACGTATGATCTCAGCGAGCGCAGCGGAGGAGCAATAGAGAGTGGACACCAGTGGAGCGATGTACATTAGAGTCATGTTGACAAGGAAGTAAGCGAACTCATGTCGTTCTGTGGGCAGTGAGCCGTATGACACGCATTGGAAATATCTGTAATAAAAACAAATATCAGATATTTTATGTATTAAAAGTGTTGATTTCTTAATATTTTTTTGTGTTTATGTCCTCAATATGTTGTAAATTCATAAGATACTGATTGTAAATTAGAGTTAAACACAAAGAGAGTAAACGAAGTATTTTAGCTTTGGCATTATTGTTCATATACCACTGTTTTAACTTTTGTCAAATATTAATTAGTTTATATAATTTTCAATATGTTGGCAACACATGTTCTCTAATGTGACCACGTGTTTTACTCCGCGATTGTAGCACAGAAAGTTATTTTCAAATCGAGGACATTTCCTATTTGAATTGGAAAGTTTATTAATTCCAATACCGAATTTACTTTGTATGCGGCGTTCATTCAAGGTTTTATAAATATGTATATTATAGTGCTATAATCTTACTAATATTATAAATGCGAATGTTTAGATGGATGGATGGATGTTTGGAGTTATCTCCGGAACGGCTGCATGGATCTGGCTAAAATTTGGCATAGATATAGAACATAGCCTAGAAGAACACATAAGCTACTTCTGAAGTTTTTTTTTTAAACCGCGCGGGCGGGGTCGATAGCTAGTATCTAATATTTAAGCAAATTGAAATTTGAATGTCTAAAGTAAGGATCTTTTATTAACCAACCTATAAGTCTAACATTATCTCGCTTAAAGTTTACTCAATAATCATCTTATTTGTAACTGTTTATGTAAAAATTTCAGTAAAGTAGCTAATATTTTATCTATCTAGAATTTTACTATCGAATTCTGAAAGGAATAATTGCGAACTGAAACGTAATAGATGTAATTATCTGCAACTCAGACGTTAAATTATATAAATTGAATCATTAATTGAATGGTCAGAGCGTTAGATCGTATCCCCGCAGTGTACCCCAGTGTCCCCGCAAATTACCGTAGTGTACCCGCCTTGTGGAGTGACCCCATTGCCGTGACACCTCTGTATTAAGTATTCAAAGGCTGTCATCAACCTTAACTTACTATAGTCACGTTAATTGACAAGAATTGAAATATCAAATACCAATTATTATACATTTATTTAATTTACGTTTCATAGACTTAGACAAAATTTATATTTACAATGAAAATTACTATTACGCGTTATTACGTAGTGTTTATGAAATGTTAGGGGGTAAGTTGACACTTGAGCTGCAGGCTTTCATCATCATCAGCTCACTATACGTCCCCACCGAGGGTCTCGTAGCATACCCTAAGGGTGATTAGGCCATAGTCAACCACGCTGGCTAAGTGCGGGTTACTGCAGACTTTAACCCTTTTTAATTCTGCTGCCCCACCCCCCTTGCTTGCTTTTCCATGCTTTTCCTTCTAAACTAAGACTTCATCTAGAAAGATTCATCATAAGCAACGCACCGCTAACATAAAAATTAAGTATCTGTGTAACTGGCCGTGGTTACGTAATCCTAGGTAATACGCTTATTTCTTTTCTTTGTACTGGATATATATACATACCCTTTAACATCAGGATGTTCTTCCAGGTGGAATATGAAGCTCTGCGGTAGACTGGCTAGACCAGCGCATATCCAGGCGGTGGCGAGGGCCTTGCGCACTCCCGCCTCCCATTTCACGTTCAGAGGCTTCAGAATTGCGTAGTATCTGCAAGAATGTATACCATATGTATCTTAAAACTTATTAATAATAATGAGATAATATAAGCCATAACCGATTCATGATTTGCTCGATATCGCATAAGGGTCCGTATACAAAGACTGTCTGAACGAACCTTAAGCTGTTTTCATTGTAGTTAAAACAGACTTTTTCTATTTAAAAAAAAAACTATTATTTCAGTGTTTTAGGACAGGTATTTGAATAGTACATAGACATATAGGAGAGTTACCTATCAACGGCGATACATATGAGGACGAAGCTTGAGAGGTACAGGCCGAATGTCCTGGTGAACATCATCAGTCGGCACATGAAGTCTCCCGCCAGCCACTGCACCGTGCCCGCCCACGCTATCTCCAGCGGCATCATCAGGAATGTCACCTGCATCACACACATAATGTTACTCTGCCGAAATACCCTTGTAAACATGTCTTTAAATATGTTTCGTCAGTGGAAATGCACGATTAGTTTAACATCAACTAATTACATGTATACATGTTGTATAGTACAACTCTAATTCGATCGCGGGATTGTCAAATTATTTGATAGTCATCGGCCCTGTTTGAGTTTTTAGTCCCCATTTTTTAGTGTTTGGTATATGTATATCTTAATCAAAAAAAGTTGACAAAGATCGTGTATCGAACTATATTATGTATATACTTTGGGTGTTTACCGTTGGACCGATAGGCTTACCGATCAATAGACCCAACGGGAAAAAACACCCATATACTTTAAACATATATATAACAAAAATATTTTAGATTAACAAATCAATACGTACCATCAGATCGGCGACAGCTAAATGCATGAGTAGCAAGTCGAGTCTACTCGCGCGAGCCGCTCGCCTCCTTTTCAGTAGTTGCGACAGGACAGTCAAGTTGCCAGTCGCTGATATTATCATTAGTACAGTATATACTGTTATCGAGACCATATGTCCATGGTTGAAACGCATTTCCAAAGGCAGTTCATTACTGGTGTTTAAATGAGTCCAGTTTTTCTGTGACGCGCCCCCCGGACCAGATACCTTCTCGTCTATATCCATGATAATATTCTTCTAGTTCTTTCTATAGTCTATGTCTACACGTAAACATTTTGATCACGTAACTCGTAATCTCGATCATTTCGTGGCGAATTTTCGGTGTACGGGAATTCATTGAATCGTGCCTGGAACAAAGGATTTCTTTCGCTTGATATATGAAGCAAATTGACTTTTATTTTGACAGGGAAAAAGTAAAGGAGCACAAAATCTCGGAATACATTGAAATCATGTAAAAGTTACGTCGGAAATGTGAAGGCGAATAAATGTTTTTGTACTCATTTGTTGTGTCTTGGACGTTAATGAAGCCAGATAACTGATACCTTAGGGAAACTATTATAGTTCTAATGAGTAACTGAGAAGTGGATCAAAAAATTGCAAACATCAAGACGGGTAACTAAATAAAAGCTTATAAAAAGGGAATGGTTACAAATTATTAAGACAATGATTTTAAAATTTAAATTACGAAACTAAAAATTAAATATAAATGTATTTACTATTATTTTCAATAATTTAGTATACTATAATATTGTTGTCATATTACTTAATCTGGAAGTATTTTAAATTTTTAATTATTTTTACTTTTTCTCCCATCATAAAATCGTTATGTCGGTAACAGAGTTTTTAATTATCTGTAAAACAAACAATACATGAATCTGAAAGTATTTTATCAATCGATAACTCAACTCAATAATAAAAGTTGATTCAAAGTACAAAGTACTTTCAAAGCTTTGTAGTATGAGGTATTATTAAACAAACTTTATCGCGGCTCGCAATTTCGCACGAGGTACATTACTATACAATGTTATCGTGGGTTCCGAAAGCCGTGATACATAATGAATAGATGTTTTCATCCATTTCATTTATTTAAAAAAGCACGGACTATCCTTAATATTAAAAAAAGTGTACACAGTCGTAACCTAATGTTCGGCATCTGTGTGAAATACATAAATGCTCATACGTTTGTAGTTAACTTCGAGCCGCAATAAAGTTTGAATCGTATAATACAAGCTGTCAACGTTAAAATCACTTCCATAAAGTTGGAAAGTTTTTAAATCAATTTTGTTATTAAAATCGAGATTAATAGAAGTCATGGTAACTCAGTTTGTTCTTGCCTTGTCGTGATAATTAAAAAGTTAACTTTGTTTTGCTATTTGATTGGAGCAATTTTGAAATTAGAATAATATACTTAATTCTTCTATATTGTCATGACAAGCTAAAATTTTGACAAGTTAAATATAAAAGTAACTTTACGTAGTAACGTTACTTTTTTGTACTTATAGCATTCTACGGCGTAGCACCTCTACGAAACATATTAACTCTGTTATAAAAGAGTGAAAGAGATGACAATATATTTATATTTTAATATATGACACAAGTTTCACGGCTGTGGACCAGACTGGATTGGAAGGGTACATTCCAGTCTATTCCAGTTCGTCGGTTATAATAAAATGTAAACTATCATTATTGTCTATTATTTCATGCTTTTACGTCATTGATAAAAATAGAAACGATATAAACAGACAAGGAGAAAGGCTTCAACACGGTACAAGTTTAAGTAATAATAAATTGAAGTTCTCATTCAGCTTCAAGTGCTCTTAAGTAACCCTATCCTACGCAAGCGTCCGTGCTACTTGATATTAAATAGCTAGAAAATTAACAGATTTTTTTTATTTACAAAAAATAATATGTGTATCATTTTGACTATATATTTAAGCAGCAATAGCCTAATGGTTAAGGGTACGGATTTCCTATCACGAGGTCGGGGTTTTGAATCCCTTCATTCGACTATTGTCGTAAACCATGTCTTAGCACAAGAATACAGCTTAGTTAGAATAGTAAAAGAAATATTAGTAAATTAATAAAAATCTTATCATATTTGACATAACAAAGATTATACTCGAATGCAATGGAAATAAAAAATTATATTTACACATGTTATTGACTGACGGATTCTAATAAATATCCATAAACAATCTCTCTTTGATAAAATCTATAACATAATTATGAAAGTTTGTTAATAGATAACTCAAGATAAAGACGGCGAAGTCGAAAATCTCAATTTTCCTACCCAAGACGAAACAATTAGCATACGTTTAAGACAAAGTTTAACTTTTCTTTGAATTGCGAAATTGTAAGAATCTTAAACCGCTACTGCGAAAGTCGGAAAATAATAAAACAATGGCAAGTTAGAAGTAGAGTTTAAGATAAAAAAGATATAATAGGAATAAAAGGGGACAAAAGTATTCGAATTCAATAGAAATGAGAAATTACAACAAACCTATTTTTACCTTTATAAAGCTGTAATCATTTAAAAACAGACATTTCAACAGTGGTAGAGCCCGCTTTAACATCTTCGCACGAACTGGCCCGGCTCGCCCGGTAAAATACCACGACCACTAAGAAGACAGGCGTCAAGTGGAAGCAATTCCGCGTTTCGTCTGATGAGTGTGCGTCCCGTAGGCCTAATTTAGTCCTCTTTCCTTTCCCACCCTCTTTCTTATATTCACTTTTCTTAAAGGATGGGAAGTGTAAGTGGACTTTCCGTTTGAGAGGATGCATTTGAAGGGAAAATATTTTATTTCTGTGCATCCTCTCCTCCGACGATTAAAAGGTAGGCAACGCATATGCAATTACGTATGTCGATGGGCAACGGTCACTTCGTTATTCTACGATTTCAGGTGGCTGCTCGCTCGTATGCCACCTTATGATATAAAACCAGGCATGTTTTTTCATTGATTTAAACACTGAAATAATCTAAAATAATTCAATATATTATTTTTTTTAATCCCACAAAGATGAAATTAATATTTTCGGCCTGATTATTGACTTCGTTATGTGTACTTTTTAAACTACACAAAGGTTTGTTAAAATGATCACACCAAACATTCAACTGATTTCAAATGTTTGGTTAGTAAGAGTAAACTCGGATTCCAATGCTGAAACAATTGAACAAAAACATAACTATACTGATTCTTTCATATCTGATGAAAATGAGAACAGTAGAAATGATTCAGCTTTAGAAACCTACGTTAAACTAGACCTGTATATAAATAGATGTAGAGTTCCAATTGCGACTGATCTTTGCGCAAGCAGGGTAGATACATAATCTATGCATTTATATGCAAAGAGGTTTAAGGCATCATCTTCAACGCTCCTGATTCTCATAAGATTTTGCATATTTTACCATGTTGATAACTTTACATGTTTTTACACTCGAAGACGTTAATTATTATTAAAGGAATCTTAGTGTAGATTTAGCGATACATACACCCTTTAAGAATGTTTATGTAATCATTTACTGTCTCTAAGTGTGGCAGTTAATCGTTAATTAAACTTCTAGTTTATTATAAAATCCAGGTTTCTAAGTGTAATTGTAAACAGATTTAATCGAAGAAATTAGTTTTGAAATGTATAATAGTTATTTGATATACTGTTTCTTAAAAGGAATTTCTTCTTAGAAATCTTGTTTTCGATGTTATTCGCTGGAAGTGCGATGAAGACGCTTATCATTTGAATTTTAAATTTCATACCTTTTTCTTTTAGAATTTACCGTAATTTGATAAAACCATATAATAGCCAGATTATTTCATCTATGTATTTATAATTGAACGTTGAATTTCTAAAATCACATATTACTAGTTGTGGTCCGCGACTCCGTCTGCGCGGAATTAAAATAAACTTAATTAGTAAGTTTTTTTTTTCACATACCGCACGATCGGAGTCGCGGGCGACAGTTAGTGAATGTCTATATAACATCATTAAATTTCCTTTCTTTTCATTTAAAAAATTAAGCTGTATTTCTATTTGATATCCATTAATTAGACTCAGACGAGCACCTTATTATTTTTCGAGAGTGAGATTTAACGCCGGAGGGTTTGCAAAATATATATAACTGTACTAAAAACAATTTATAAAATAATGTATATTTTAAAACAGATTAAAAGAAAAATGATGTAGCATTTAAAATTGAAATTATATTTCAAAATATTTTAAAAGATGCAACAAGCAGTTGATTTATAATATTTTTGCGTTGAAAAAAAAATAATCTTATAATTTTAATGAGACTGATTTAACTAGGGAGGAATACGAATCTAATCTCTCGATCCTCAAAATCGTTTAGCCTTTAGACTACAGATGTCATAATAGTTTCTAGATATATACACCCTCTTGAAAATCATTAGGCTTCATCTTTATGTCAATCTTTTTTATTATATTATTATCTCTTTTTATTTTATTTTTATCTCATCTTTCTTCTTATTAATATTATACATAAATGCAAACGTTTTGATAGATGGATGGATGTTTGTTAGAAGGTATCCCGGAACGGCTCAACGGATCTTTATGAAATTTGGCACATATGTAAAACATAGTCTGGAAGAATACGTAGGCTACTAAGTTTTTTTAATTTTTAAATTTCGTACGGATGGAATTTGTGGCGACAGATAGTACGAGTATATTGTTATTCAAGATGATTCAAGTACCATACAAGTTCCCCGGAATATTATAGTGGTCCAGTTGTGTTTATTGTGTCTTTTTATTTAATTAAAAGTTTTAAGTTAGCTAATAAGAAACAATTGTAGTATAGTATTTTGCTACAAACGGGGTCATTGTGTGTAGAAGGTCAGCAATGCAGACGGTGAAGACACAAGTCGTTAGCGATGTCGTCTTATCGCACAATCACGACATCTACATAACTTGTTGACTGTCAACACCTTTACAAACTGTTTGCTGACATCTTTATAACTTAAAGTGCATAAATATTTATTGTTTATGCATTCTAAGTTGTACCGTTTCAACACAACACTCACACTGTGTTGAAAACAAAGGAAGAATTTTGTTTTCCAAAATGGCGGCCAATGTGATTTCATTGTGACATTTTCGGCGTTGTTAACTTCTGTGATTGATTTAAAAAGTGCAAAAAACAAGATACACTAGTAGGGAACTAGTTTTAGTAGAATTTATGATGATAAAACATGTAAAAAACAGTAACCAAGAGACAAAATAATGGGCGTGACTTAAAGTACTCGGTGGAAAATTGGCGCCATCTTTTTCTTTTTTTTAAATCGGTCAACCTGAAAAATGTGCGTACCGTTCTACCAACGTTATGGAAAATATTCGCTATCGG